CAGCTTCCTTTTTTGCAAATTGTGGTTGCAAGTTCCAATCAACAACATGGGACCAGAAGTGTCCTGGTATAGTTTCTAGAGTGGTAGTCAACTTAGTGACCTTCTCTTTCTTGATTCTTCCCTCCAGCCTAGATATGATGCGTGGCCCCTTGGACACCATCTTGGGCCATGAGAGCAAAGTGTAAGGGTGAGCTGGAAGGGACCTAGCTCCCTAAGGATTTAATGGACTAAAGACATTGACAGACATAGGCCATCTACTTCTGGACTTGTGAGAGTGAAGCAAACTCATTATTATTTCACTCACAGCCAAAAATGGCCCTAACTGGCATTGTTTTCTTTTTCTTTCTTTCTTTCTTTCTTTTTTTTTTTTGTCAGTAGTGGGGCCTGAACTCTGGGCCTGGGCACTGTCCCTCAGCTCTTCAGCTCAAGGCTAGCGCTCTACCACTTGAACCACAGCGCCACTTCCGGATTTTTCTGCTTATGTGGTGCTGAGAAATCGAACCCAGGGCCTCATGCATGCAAGGCAAGCACTCTACCACTGAGCCACCTTCCCAAGGCTCTTTCTTTTTTCAGATTTCCCTCCCACTGTCTCTCCCTTCCTGCTTCCCTCCTACCTCCCCTTCCTGCGTTCTTTCCTTCTTGTCTTCCTTTTCTTACTCCCTCCGCACTCTCTTTTTCATGGAGGATCACGGTGAAACCCCCTAGTTTCATGTGTGTTTGCTTCTTTCAGCCAATCCCAACTGAATCGTAGCTGGAAAGCAGACTGAGTCCCAAGGCTGTCTGAGACCTGCCTAGCCAGAGTGTGTTGGTCACTTTCCCTCACTGGACTCCCAGTTCCTCATCTGAAAAAATAGCCTTCTTATAATTTCCAGACAATTTCCAGATCAGGTAGTATACCTATCCCTGTGCCAGTTCTGCTAGTCAAAGGATGTTATCAGGATAAAGAGCTTTCATTTCACCAAAAAGTTAGTGTCACACATTACTTATTTGTAACTGTTAACAGATACACGAAGTAAACTATAAACATATTTAGTTGAGCTGAGCACAGTGGCTCACGCCTGTAATCCTAGCTACTCAGGAGGCTGAGATCTGAGGATTTTGGTTTGAAGCCAGCCCAGGCAGAAAAGACCCCAGAGCCTCTTATCTCCAGTTAACCACTCAAAAAAGCCAGAAGTGGCACTGTGGCTCAACTGGTAGAGTGCCAGCCTTGAGCACAAAGAGGCTCAGGGACAGAGCTCAGGCCCTGAGTTCAAGCTAAGAAAATGTGAGTCATGTTTTATGCCAAATCTTCAATGATACTATAGGTTGGCTTTTGTCAGTCATTGCCTAATATCATTTTTTCTGAGCATATCTACATTTTCTTAAGCAAACATGGTACAGAAGCCCCAGGAGACATAAAATGAGGAAGGTTTCTCTTTTTTAAGTCCATGATCCTTTGAAACTAAGTGGTTTTTCTGATAGTAGTCACCATCCCAGAACCCTTGTGTCACTCAGACTAACTGAAAGGCAGTCAGGGGAACTGAGGTACTCTGCTAGAACTGAGGACCTTTTTCTATCCTGTTCCTCGTGAGCATGGGGTGTCAAGCGTGACATTAGAACTCCCTGAGGAACTCTGACCTGACCTATTCTAGTTTTTCCTTAGAAAAAACAGCTTAGCCTCTGCTCCTTCACATTTAATCCTTTGCCTGAAAAAAAAATTAAGTGTCTCCAATCAAAGGTATACCTCCTATTTACCTAATTTCATAAATACATACACATTAATGTGCTTTTGGATATAATTTTCCTCTGCCTGTTCTGTAACTCTTCCTTGTCCAAATGTCATTATTTTCAAGAAGATTTCTCAACTCTCTCTCTTGACAACCTTACTAATATCAGGCTACCCTCCCATACTGCTCACAGCCTCCATTCTCCAGTAACTAACAAAAATGACCTGCGCACTGTAAGGTTCACCAGTAGTCAATGGATGGGCAAATGTTCCTCTCTTCTCCTCCTGGTTCTATCATATTCCTTCATGGGACTTACCTCCCACACAAGAGGTACTGCTCTTTAAACTCCCATTGTACCTTCTGTTTATGGTATTCATTGTAGAGTACAATCATTTACCACCTTTCATTGTTGTTTCCACATTCCTGAGTATCTTGCTGCCCTGCTAAGAGTTTGCTACTAACAGGTTCAGACCCTATCTTAAATGTCCTTTGTTACCTCATCATTTTCTAAGGCACACAGTAAGTAGGTAAGTGATAAATGATTGGTAGATGAGTACATGAATCCAAGGTAGGTTTCTGAACTGTAACCCAAGGAAGATTTGCATTATTTTAGAGAGCTTCTTAACACCCCAAACAGATGATGTCATAAGTTATGCTTGCACTTTCCTCTTTTGAAGACACAGATCTAGTATTTCTCATCTTGGGCCAGACTGCTGAGGTTTGAACGTAGTCTCCCTTCTTCTAATCTTAGGGATTCAACTGAAGACTAGAAGCCTTAAACCCTTCACTTATCAAAGTTTTATAGTTTTATGAAGAGTTTAGTGCTTCGCTTATAAAACAAAGATGATAATAACATGACCTATTTTTTAAGTTGTAAAAAGTAGTAAACAGGGAAAAAAGAGGCTATTCATATTAAATATATCGCATAGAATCTTACTTACTATGTGTCATACTGCAGTTATTTACCAGTGCAGCTTCTAATATGATAGAAGGCTTAAATGGAGCAAGAATTCTTGATAAAGTTGCAGGGTCAGAGATACTAATCTTCTTTCCATGGCCAGTATCTTCTGTGGTAAGCCTATAAAGAAAGGCACAGTGATGACTTTTAGAGCCAGAAGTTGGACACCTGGATGGATGTTGTCACACCACGTCCCTAAAAGAAGGCTAGCATGTTTGCAAGAAACATTTCAGTAGGAGACCTGCCTTCCAGGGGGACCAATGGGTACTAGATAAGCCTGAAACACTGAATAAAATTTACTAATGCCAAAGAAAAAAACATCCACCAATATGCTGCTAGCAAGCTAGGACAGAGTTACTGCGACAGCCAGTTTGCCTAAAGGACTTGCTCCTTGAGAACAGAAAAATTCCTCCTCATTACTCAATAGAGAAATGAGTACAAATTAAGTGGTAATCAAGTTAATACAAACTGTTTTTCATTTTCCTGCCTCCAGATCCTCCCCAAAGTCAAATGAAAGTCAAATAGTCTTCCTTCATTACCTCTCTTAGGTTGATCCTTATAAACTAACCACATTAAAATGCACTATTTCTAGAGTGATAGGAAAGAAGTAGGCATCTTGATGGAATATAAAAGGTTCTTTGTTCTGTGTGTTTGCTTGCCTACCTGTCTACCTGCTTACCTGAGTGTGTGTGCTGGCCCAATGCCAGCCAAGTTAGGCAGCCATTTAATCCTGCGTGACTCTCTGCCTGCTCTGTATCCTGGAGGAAGGAACTTATGCCAAGGCAGTCAAAGCTTAGGTTTCCCAGCAACCTATGACCTGCTAGGAAAATTTGAACTGTGCCAATCTGATTGCCTCTGTTGAGCATCTAGGCTAGAAGCAAAATAAGGTTTGCCTATTAGCAGTGGGAACCACAGCTGCATGGGCTATGAGGAAGTGGGAACATAAAATTCTCAGCCAGACAGACAAGATTGGACATTGAGGGGAACCGAAGACACTGCAGGGGCAGGGGCAAGTAAAAGAAAGCAGCCGCATTCAGACTACAGTTGAGTCCATCAGTGAGAGAATGCTGGAACAGCTAAAGATCTCTAGATACGGGTCCAGCCCCATCCCTGAGTAGTCCCTGGAGTTGAGTCTTGGTAGTGGTTCCCAGCTAAGTGTTCTATGGATTTTCACTCTACTTAGTTTAGATTTAGGAGTAGGAATGCCACTGTTTTTTACGAATATAAGACTTTTTATCTAAAACACTTATCTCACTTCAGTATTAGGCTTTAGCTCAAGAAAACCATGGAGATAAAGCTTTAGGATAAAAGCAGTTCATAAAAATGGCATGATCAGATCATCCATGAACATTAGGCTCCCAGAACATTACACTCCTCAGAACCTGAACACCTGCTTAGAAAAGATCAGTGCACAAGTAACCACGGTGAGGAAGGTCTGGTGAGGGGTTTGATGCCATGGCCTACAGACTGAAGAAAGAGGAGTGTATTTATTTTGAAAAGTATATCTTAAAGAGGCGGGAGAAATTTTCATTACATGTGTATCTGCCACACTTCATATGTGTCATATTTGCCTCTTGCTCCTCCAAAAGTTAGAACTAGAAATCAATCAAAAGGTTTAGCTCTGAATTTCCCTACCAAAGGATGTTTGGCTGCAAGGTAGAGAGTACAAAAATCACGGAGATATTCACCTAGAGACTAGATGGCCAGCTACATTGTGTCCCAAAAGCAGAATTTCAACTAGAGAGCATTATCTTTAGCACTAAACACATGGAGTTTTATCCAGAATGACTACTATTACCTCTCGGCCTTCAACGAAAGCTACAGTGAACTTCTGAAGATTAAGCAGACCACAAAAGAGAAATTCTCTTCAATCTCCAGATGACTCCAAGTATTACAGCACAAAAGCGGGCAATCACAAAGTTTCCCAGATCTCCATCTCATCTATCTCTGCCCATGCTTCTGAAATGATGTAGTAGAATCTCCTCTCACTAAGATTGGCTTCCCAGAAGGGTTTCCACTTGTTGCCTTTTAAGCAAATAGAAAATTCTAGAAAGGAACATTTTCCTTTCTTTCTGAGACAGGTTCCTCGTGTTACACAGGGCAGTATTTAATTCCCAGGTTCACTCAATCCTCCTGACTCAACCTCCTGAATAACTGGTACCTCCTCTCTTGTATCCCCTCCCTATGGAATTTGAGGGTATGACCTTGCGTGGACTGGGTAAACACTCTACCACTGGCTTATTACTCCTCCCTCGGGATCTTCACTGTTTTAAGGCAAAGAGAGATGTTCTCAATGTGCCATTTTTTTCAAGGAAAAACAAATTCTACCAACTTACCTTGATGGGACAAGTAGAAGGAGCAGGCAAGCTGGTTGAAAGCTCTCACAATCGTTTGGTTCCACTTCCCCACCTGTCTTCCATCCTACCCCCTTCCGGTTATTTCAGTGAATCATGATTGCTTGCAGTGATCGTTCACCTCTGTGATCCTGCTAGAAAGCAAAAAAAAAAAAAAAAAAAAAAGATTCTTTGTGTGTCCTCTTCTCTCTGCTATGGTAACTCCACCATCTACATATTTAATAATCTGACACCAGACATTTGTGTTTGTTTGTTGGGAAGGGGGGGTGATTGGAGAGGATTCCCAGCATGCCACACAACACCATGGATGCTTTCTAGATCCAACAGGTGGGAGAGTTTCTTTTGGCACAAACTAAAGCAACTTCTGGAGCTTCATCAGTTAGGATCTAGATAAACAGGTAACCTGTTCCTATCAGTAAACAGTAGGAATAGTTTAACTTACCAATATGCTTTGGTAAGACAGTCCCTTTTCAGTATCTTTTTAATAATATGTCCTTATAGAGGACATAGATTGTAGTCAATTCAAGTAGAACCATATCAGCATGGCCACAGATGAAAGGAGCAAAGGACTGTTTCTATTTGTTCCCATGAAGGGTCTCTGGCTTCTTAAGAAATCAGAGCTGTTTCAGAGAATGATTTGTTTGTCTATTAAACATGAGGGTTCCATTACGAAGCCTGGGGAGACCCTCTGTAATCAGCTGTCTTTCTGTGAGGGATGGATGGGCAGTGAGCCCAGCCTCACCTCCGGTGTCACCCAGGCAGCCACCCACACCTGGCCACGGTGACCAGTCTCCAGCATCTCCTAAGCTCTCCAGCACAGAGCTGAGCATCCGGGTAGCTTTCTACTGCAAACACAGCCTGCCATTGAACCATTTTCCTCTGCACTGTACACAATCTCTGCTGCCACAATGAGTCACCATGCAACACATCCCCTCATCCCCTTCCACTCGGTACTTAAAATACTCTGGGGCTGGCTGAAAAGAACCCCCGCCGTGTGCGCAAGCTTGTGTGGGAATGTGGGGTTGGCAGCTCAGCCCTCTGCAGCCCTCTGCAGCTTGGACTGCATTGTGTTTGGCAAAGGGGTTGCGAGGGCTGAGGGGTTCAGAGAGCCAGGAGCTCAGGGGAGTTCTGTGTATCAGATCCGCTCTCTCTCATGCAGGCCTGTCCAGTTGCACCCCTTCCTTTGCAGGCACCTCCATTTTAGCCTCTCTGACCTTGAGCCGAAGGTTCTTGCTGTTGGGGGTTGATTTGTCCAATTTTCTCAGCCTAGGTTCTGGCTGGTCATTTTGTTTTAAACAGAAATGCCTCGTCCTGTTCGCCTGCCCAACCCCATTTCTATCCCCAAGTAGATTGTGCTTCAATTGTAACAGCATTTGGCTTTCCCTGAGTCAGAAAATCTGACATCCTCACTGGAGCCGAGGTCTGTCTCTGTCTCTGTCAGTCTCTCTCTCTCTTCCATTACCATTTCTGCTGGATACTTCTCTATCCACCTACACACGGAACATTCACCTTGAGCAAAGCCAATCACAAGACTCCTGCCTCTTCCCTAGCCAGCATAGAGAACGGGATTAAAAACGGTTCTTGCCCTGAGCCTTTTCCACCAAGCTGGAGAATTTCTTCCTTTGTTCGGCAAAGAAATACTGCACATTCCACAGATAGGTATGGAACACTTCCTCGGTTCCCCCAGGCCAGCGCCTCCCTCTGCACCCAGTCACACGCCCACTGCAGAGCGGGCACCTCTCGCTCAACCTGCTCCTAGGGCACCTTTCACGGCAGGGGCCTTGGAGTAAAAGCCCAGCCCAGTACAATCCAAAGGGACATTATGTGCTTGAGTTATTCATTATGGGAGTTAGTGGAGGCCACGGAGCAGGAAGCATGTTGGGATGCAAGGGGAAAGGTGGTATAGAGGGTGGAGACATAGTCAGGGTGACCTGCCAAGGCCTGATGGGAACTCCGAGTTCTGGCAGAGGGTAGGCATCTGCGTTAGAAGGTGGTAAAGTCATAACAACAGCCCCAAGGTTAGGCAAGGTCTGGTGGAAACAGAAGAATTATAATTAAGCTAGTCACTTAATAGCTCTTGCTATGCACCCAGCACTGTGCTTAACACTTCCACACATCTCCCCTTTAATCCTTGCTACAATGTATCACTCCAATTTTACAACCCCAGGAAAGCCTTGAAAAGAACAAGTGACTTGCCCAAGGTCACATAGCTGGCCAGTACTGAAGGTAGGAAAGCACATATAAGTTTGTTCTTTCTGCCTACAGTAGGAGGCGAATTACATGTTTAGAAAATGGCAGATGGTCTAGAATGGAGCTTGCACAGAGCCACTGGGAGAAGTACGGTTCCCACGGTGCTGAGATAGGATTCTTCAGCAGCAATACCAGGTTTGGGTGGGCACAACGAAGTTTCTAAGAGGCCTGCTGGTTTAGAAGGAGGCAAGGCCTTGGGTCTACAGACATGACCCTCAGGATTTGTTTAAAATCAAAATCTGAGGGAGCAGTTTAAACTCAGGAGACTGAGCAAACACCACCAGAGAACTAAAATCTGAGAGTGGGAGATGTCTGTCAGAGGAAGACAGTAGGACAAGAGAGAAAACCTATTTTACCCAACTCAGCATTGATGCATGTGACAGTTACCTGGCTCTGGAGAGCTAAGGACATTTGGTCTTAAGGAAACACAAAAGGAGAAAAGGAGTTCTAATGAAAACTCTGTCACTGGGGTTGGCACCCGTGGCTCACACCTATAATCCTTCGCTACTCAGGAGGCTCAGATCTGAGGATCGCAATTCAAAGCCAGCCTTGGCAGAAAAGTCTCTGAGCCTCTTAGCTCCAGTATACTACTCAGAAAGAGCCAGAAATGGCATCTTGGCTCAAGTGGTAGAGCGCTAGCCTTGAGCACACAGAGGCTGGGGACAGGGTCCAGGCCCTGAGTTCAAGACCAGTAAAAAAAAAAAAAAAAGACAAAGCAAAGACAAACCTCTGTCACTGGAGACCTCTTGGCACAGAGCAAGTTTGGGGGGAGAGGGGGTAGGGAAGAAGGAGAATGGGGGGGGGGGATGGCTTGGGTCAGAACAGGGAAAGACTCTCCAACTTGCTTCCATGTGTCCTCCCCCTGCTCACTCACGCCCCGGCTCTGGGTGCGGATTCCGCCCCTCCCGCACGGGCCCTTCCCACCCTGCGCGGCGGGCGAGCGGCCGCCTCCTCCCCGGCGGGCTGTGCTCAGGCCCTGGGCCGACCCCTGGCCGCGGCCCCGGT